CTTTCACGATCTTGTAAGCTCAAGTAAGCCCTTTGAAACTACGATCGCTAAGAGAATGAACAGGAAGACTTAGAGAAATTTAGAAGAAGGCTTATATTGCTTATAAGAAAGCTTTACAAGTTGTTGGATGTCTTGCAAATGAATGGCACCCCCTATTTATACTAACTCCTAAGGACTAAAGTGCAATTAAAAATTACTTACAAGTCTCTAGATTATTTACACAAAGGCCACTCTCTAGAATTCTCTACACACTCTAGAGAATTCTAAGGCTTTTCTTGAAAAGTCTAAGTTATTCTAGAGAATTCTAAGGAATTCTCTAGCCTTCTTGAATAATCTAAAAGGTTCTAGAGTTCTCCGCAAACCTCTCCACAACTCTAGACCCTTCCGCCCCTATCCGGACGTAAAATTTAACTGTGATATGGTGGGACATGACACTCTCCCCCACCTATTGATGCGGCGATCGCGTCGCATCATTGTTGCGTCACCAATCGGGTCTTGTCTTCTCGTATGCGTGGCCAATAGTCCATTGACTTGATCAACGTCCTCGCGCAATGCCTTCAATTGCTTCATGATTTCTTTCAGCCCGGTCTTACGATCTATCTCCTTCCTAGGAGGCAAGCGCCTTGGCAGCTTCTTTGGCATCACGACATCGTTCCCTTTTGGAACCCTCTTCGGGCGTAGTGGCAGGGATCCTTTTGCACCATTGTCTTCTTTCGAACTTGCAATTGTGGCTCTAAACGCTGGCTCCTTCTTCTTAGGTCTTCTCTCGAGTTGCATGGCCGTTAACCGGACTTGTCCTTCCGCTTTTGGTACCTTAACTAGGGGAACCATGCATGATCTTCCTTTCTCCATGACTAGAAGTCGTTGGAGGTAAGGGTCAATCACCGCGTGACACTGCTGGAAGAACTCCTGCCCAAGAATTATGTCAAAGAGATCTAAATGAGCGACAATGAAGTTGGCCTTACCTTGCCACTCGCCTAGCGTGATGCTCACTCTATGCGCAAGAATTATGCTCACTCTTACTAGAAGTCGTTTGCTTCAGCTCCCTAAATTTGCGCTTCACCTCATAGATGACGTTGTTAGGGAAGAAGGCTTTCTTGAACTCCTCCCGGAATTGCTCCCAGGTGTTAATGGTGCACATCCCCTTCCCTATCTCCTCCTTGCGCCTCCACCATAGCATGGCCATCTCCGAAAGATACAACACAACGGTGTTGATCTTACTCTCGTCGCTCTTCATCCCGTTGCACTTGAAGTAATTCTCCAAATGCCAAAGGAAATTCTCCACCTCTTCCGCGTCATGGACGCCGAGCCTCGACCCTGGCCTCCCTATCTCGGTCAAGCGATGATGATCCTCCAGCTGCCACACCTTCCTTGAGTGCTTTCATCTCGGCCTTCATGGTCTCAATCGTGCTCAACGCCTCTATGAGCCGACACTCCAAGGAAGTGATAGCCTCCTTCATCTCAAACTCGGCCCGCTAACGTCCCTCCAACTCCTTACGAATGTTTTCGGTCTCTTCAAGGGTGAAGTCTTCGAGAGTCTTGAATTTTCCATCTGCCACGTTCATGCGCCGACCTAATATCTCCACAGCCTGCCTTGCCACTTCAACGCTTGTGACCCACTTTTTTCCTGTGGTGACGTCAATGGCCTCCTCGCCACGTTCCTCGTCACTTGCTTCGGTGGTTGAGGGTGGATGAGATGTTAGCGCCTCGCTTGGTGTGGGATCTAGCAACATTTCTTCATGACTCTTTTGGTGCTTCTTTCCCTTGCGGTTCTTCTTTCCACCATCCGGACAAACGTTGGTGGTACTAGCGGCGTTCACGTCTCCTTCAGTTGCCATTCCCTTAGTATCAAGCCTGGATCTGATACCACTTTGTCATGGACTTAGAGTTTCACTAATGCTCCGTGCAGCACTTGACAACTTACTCACGAATCTTTCACGATCTTGTAAGCTCAAGTAAGCC